GGCAGCCTTCAATCAATCTTCCTTTTGCTAAGAAAACTCACGCAGCTCCTTTATTTTCTGGAAGTCAGCATCCATCCTTGCAAGTCGATCTTGATCTTTCCGCCTCATTTGCTGATATTGTCACCATCAATATCATAATAAAAACCAAAATATGTTATATATATACACACATATATATTCTCAAGCAAAGTAAACAAAGTCAAACATCTCACATTTTAAACAGAAGAGAAAAAGTGTAATACCCCGTAAAAATAATCGTCAGAATGTCGCCGGAACTTACTGGGGTCCGACCCAGGGTCGGACAAATTTTATTTTGGGCCTAATTATTTTGGGCTTATATGATATTTTTATTTTAGGAGTTGAAGGATTTAATTTAAGTGTTATAGTGAAAAGGTTTTGATTTGGCCCATTTTGCGCCCAAGGATTTTAAAATGCGCAATTCTATTATATTTATTTAAAAAAAAAAAATAGGCAACATCCCTCTCTCCAGCTAGCCGCCGCCCAACATCTTCCTCTTCTTCCTTGGAGGTTTTATTCTCCAAAAATCTTTCTTTTGGTCTTTTAATCGTAAGGTAAGTAAGATTAATCTTAAATAATTGATATGTTATCATTTCTAAACCTGTTTGTTGATACTTGGTGGTTTATTTGGAATTACTTTAAATGGGTTTGTTCTAAAACCTTGGATTTTTACATCTTCCCTTTAGGAAGTTTATTTGGATGATTTTTAGGGTTTATAGGGAATTTTTACGGTAATTTAAGTAGGAAAGTGAATGATTTATGAAACGGGTTAGAAACCCTAGTTTTTCCCTAACCTAGTTATGGCTTTTGCAAAAAGATCAATGATTATGTTTAAATATTATGATTTTTTAAGTTAGATTATACATATTAGGATGGACATATTATTCAAATGTTTATTAGGAGAAACAAAGTGAGATTTCAACAAACTTGTTGGGTTTTAATATTCTACTTTTTGCTTGGTTAAATGTTGGCAATTGGAACGGTTTGAGTTTAAAGCTCTCTTTAAAATTTGCCTAATAACATGTTGAGTATTGAGTCAAATTTGTAATTGAAACTACCTGTCGAGTCCGATCAACTTATCGATTGTTTGGATGATAAGGCATAGCTTCCACCTCTGTGCCTTGCAAACACGTGAGGGTATACCGGAATTTTAGGATAACTAGCTAATTTCGAATTAGAACCTGAATGGGTTAGGCCGAGGGATCGAGACGGCAGGTTCCCTTTTTGGGTGATTTCGAGGTGCCCGTCACTCATGATGAAAAGTTCATTGGACCGTCATCCGTGATGGATTGCGTACAATCCCCTATTGGTATGTTATACTGAAGACTAGAAGGTTGTGAGCCGTTTGACGCCCCTCAGAAACTAATAAATAAATTTTCTTATGTGTACTTTGGGATTCGAACCCTTATGTACTTATTCTGGAGTTTTTCTTGGGGGTTGTGACCCTATGTTTGCTATGTTCAATTATATGGCGTATCATACGAAATAATAAGGTTGGAATACAAGGTCAAGCCGGCCCTGATTAAGGCCTAGTGGAGTCTTCTTCGTGATGTGCTCATTACTATTATTTGAGAATATAAAAAAAGATATAAAGGAGGCACTAAAAGACTTGTGTGTGTGAGTTATCTTTATGTGATATGTGACAATTTAATTCAAATTATCTTCTTCAAATGATTTTGTGGCATTTACACGTGAATCATGACTTATACCGTATTAATTTATCTTTGATTAATTGCGTTTACTCAACAGTCGTGTTGACCCTATTTTTACAAACTTTTGTAGATGATGGTGCTTCTATTATACCTAAATGATGCATGTATGTCATATGATCCATTGGGGGGTTATTAGAACTACTTTTTATTCTAGAATGGTTTTGAAATCTATTATTAGTGTTTAAGAACTAAGTCATTTTGAACTAATCTTCACTTTATGCTTTTGACTCAAAATTTCTTTATTTAAATGATAATTAGGTGCGCTTTAATTTTAAATATCTAATTAGGTGCTTGTAGTGGTTATTTTAGCCTTAGCGCTACAACATAGGGTTCGTTGGTTGATGAAGGAGTTTTCTGGTGTGGTATGACGGTGATATTCCGGCTTGAGCCAACTGGGGTGTTACAGTCGGTATTAGAGCTTAGGTTAAAGGCTCATGCTTCTTGATTAATAAAACTTGAAAATTTCGGAATTTCTAAAATCAATCAGATCATGGGTTTAGTCATGTTTTGGGACCATTCATAGAATGAATTGCATTTTATGTTTATTATGTATGTTTATGTGCATTGGTTATGCTATTTGATTAGTTAGAGCTTATTAGGTCTAGTCTCAATGCCCCTTAGGCGTGCTCATCAGCCTCTTATAGCACCTGAGTCCCATGAAGAGGTTGAGAGTAGGCAATTCCAAAACCCTGAGCCTTCAGTCCAGAATCTCATTCGACCTTCAAATCCAACATTGGAAATCTTTCGTCAATTTATGGGACAGTTCACTCAGCAACCCTGGAGTGCTATGGATGCAGTGTCATGTCATAGTCCTCCGAGTTTCACTGGTCAATCAGATCCGACTATTTTAGGACAATGGTTGGATCATTTGGAGATGATATTTGAGGTGGTGAGATGCCCAAAATGAGAGAAGACTATGATAGCCGCATATTACTTGGAAGGATTGGAGAAGAAGTGGTGGAATAATAAGAAGACTTCCGGGAGTAATTTAGTTGGATTACCGTGGGAGGCCTTTAAGGTGATGATAAGGGTGCACTTTTATCCTCCGCACCTTCAGAAAGCAAATGAGGATGAGTTTAGTGCCCTGGTGTAAGGTGATATGACAGTGGAGGAGTACTTCACGTATTTTAATGAGCTGGCTGTCTGTGCTCCAGATTTGGCGGCGAATGATCGATGCAAGTTGACGAGGTTTATTGGTGGATTGAATCGAGACCTTCAGCAGTTTTTAGCCGGTTCCAGTGTGGCAACCCTTCATGAGGTATACAAGAAGGCTGCTAACATCTATTGGGTAAATCGGATATCGTATGATGAGCGGAGGAATGAAATCCGTAGGGCAGATAGAGGAAAAAGAAAGGTGAATAAGGGGTTTAAGAACCATAAGCAAAAGGATCAATCAGAGAGGTTTCCGGGTGCGCCTTATGCATCTCTCCCTAAATTCACTCCCGGGAATTTGAGTGGCAATTATGGTGGTCTGACTGTTTGTAACCGATGTGGAAAGTCTCATTCGGGAGTTCGTTGTGATGGCCAGCCTTTCACTTGCTATTACTACCATGAGCCAAGACATGTCAAGAGATTTCGTCCCAAGTTAGTTGGAGCTCCGAATGCAATTGAGAGGGCTCCGGTTCCATAGCAACAAGGTCGTATGCCGTCAGTGGCACCTCAACGTGCGAGATCAGGAGAAAAGAGTTGCCAGAGAAGTCACATCAATGTCATGACGAGAGGGCAAGCTGTGGAGAACCAGGGAAACATCCTGACTGGTATGTTCTTGGTGAATTCTTCGCCTTTAGTTATTCTCTTTGAGTCTGACGCATCCCTTTCTTTTATATCGAGTAAGTATGCTAAGAAGCTAGAATTAGATTTTCAAGTAGAGGTTTCGGTAGAGATTAGACTACCTTTAGGAGAGCTAGTGCCTTGTAATTGTCTTTTCGTAGGAGTGTCTGTCATGATCGGAGACATAGAATTTTCTACTAATCTAGAGAAGCTTAAATTGGCGGAGTTCGATATCATTTTGGGTATGGATTGGTTGGCTACCTATCAGGCCCAAGTAGACTGTGGTGGGAGGAAGATTTCTTCAGAGTCCTTGCGGTGGAGAAGTTGTGTATGAGGAGGTTCTTTATTTCCCATCGATTAAGATAGTTTATGTTTTCTCTTTGCATGAGCTAACTCCTAAGGGTCACCCGTTGTTCCTGTGTGAAGTGCATGATGTCTTGGGAGATGAGAGTCGGGTTTTGAATATTTCAGTGGTGACGGAGTTTGCAAATGTATTTCGTAATGAGATACCATGGATGCCGCCTCACCGTGAGATAGATTTCAGGATTGATATAGTTCCAGAAGTGGAACCGGTGTCTAAGGCTCCCTACCGTATGGCACCTAAGGAGTTGGCTGAATTGAATAAGCAACTTCGAGATTTGTTGGATAAAGGGTATATCCGGCCAAGTAATTCTCCTTGGGGAGCGCCCGTTCTGTTTGTTAAGAAGGACGGTAGTGTTTGGTTGTGCATTGACTACCGAGGACTTAATCAAGTTACCGTTACGAATAAGTACCCTCTCCCAAGGATTGACAATCTCTTTGTTCAACTGAAAGGAGCAAGCGTATTTTTGAAGATAGATTTAAGGTCGGGATATCATCAACTTTGGATTTCAGACGGTGATATTCCAAAGACAGCATTTCGGACTCGTTATGGGCACTATGTGTTTACAGTGACATCGTTTGGGTTGACGAATGTTCCAGCTGCCCTCACGGACTTGATAAATAGAGTCTTCATGCCATATTTGGATAAGTTTGTTATAGTCTTCGTTGATGATATATTGATGTATTCTTCAAGCGAGGAGGACCATACGAATCACCTCAGATTAGTGCTACAGGTATTGAGGGAGAATCAATTGTATGCTAAATTATCGAAGTGGGTTCTGGTTCGGTGAAGTAGCATTGTTAGAGCATGTTATTTTGAGGGATGGTGTTTCGGTCGACCCATCAAAGGTGAGTGCTATTGAAAATTTTCCACGACCAAAGATGCAGACAAAGATTAGGAGCTTTTTGGGGTTGGCCGGGTATTATCTGATGTTTGTGCAAGACTTTGCACGATTGACAAGACCATTAACATCGTTTTTGAAGAAAAATGTCAAAGTGGTTTGGAATGATTTATGCGAGCAAGCTTTTTCAAGAGTTGAAACAGAGGTTGATGGTTGCACCGGTGTTAGTATTGCCGATAATTGACGAGAGTTCGATGTGTATTGCGATGCATCAAGACGAGGATTGGGGTGTGTGTTAATGCAAGATGGAAGGGTGATAGCATATGCTTCGAGGCAGCTCAAACCACATGAAGAGAACTATCCGACTCACGACTTGGAAATGGCGGCTGTCGTGTTTGCACTCAAGATATGGCGAAATTATCTTTACGGAGTTCATTGCAAAATTTACACCGATCATAAGAGTTTGAAATGCATATTCACTTAAAGGGAGTTGAATCTGAGGCAACGTAGATGGTTGAAGTTGGTGACGGACTGTGACTTGGAGATTTTATATCAGGAAGGTAAGGCAAATGTGGTTGCTGATGCTTTGAGCCGGAAGTCAAGTCATGACGTATGTTCGATGACATTACCCATAGACTTGTGTCATGAGTTCGAGAAGTTACAAATTCAGGTAGTGGGTCCTAAGGTGATTGAAGGATATATGGGTGCCTTGTCGGTTGACCCCGAGATTTTGAGGGAGATTCAGGATGCTCAAGTTAATGATGATGATTTACTCGACTTAGCGATGATGGTGCAACAAGGTGAAATAAGCGAATTCCATATTGGTCGGGATGGAAGTCTAAGATTTTGAGACAAATGGTGTGTGCCAAAGGATTGGTCGGGGATATTAAAGAGAAGATACTTAAAGAAGCTCATAGCTCTCCATATTCAGTGCATCCGGGTTGTGATAAGATGTATAAAGATTTGAAAGGACATTTTTTGTGGTACGGTTGAAAAAAGACATTGCGGAGTATGTCGTCAAGTGTTTGAATTGTCAAAAGGACAAGGCGGAGCCTAAGACACCTATGGGTTTGTTGAAACCTTTAGAGGTTCTGGAATGGAAGTGGGACTCGATTGCTATGGATTTTTTGACCGGATTACCAAAGTCGAGATCGAGCACAGATGCCATTTGGGTGGTTGTTGATCGATTGACTAAGGCAGCAGTTTTTATCCCAATAAGAATGACTTTGAGCATGCAAAAGTTGGTGAGGTTGTATGTCCAACACGTGGTGAAGAGGTATGGAGTCCCGGAGGTGATTGTTTCGGATTGTGACCCTCATTTTCAGTCGCATTTTTGGGAAGAATGAGCACGGCCTTTCAGCCGATGGCCGATGTGAAGAATGAGCGCACTATTCAGATTTTGGAAGATATGTTGCAAGCTTGTGCATTGGATTCTCAAGGTCGGTGGGATGATCGGTTGGCTTTGGTGGAGTTCTCCTATAATAATAGCCATCAAACAACCATTACGATGACACCCTTTGAGGCCTTATATGGGAGGAAGTGTAGAATGCCATTGTGTTGAAATAACCTAAACGAAAGGGTTGTATTGGAACCTGAAATGATTGAGGAGATGATGAATCAGAATCGTAGCATCAAGACTAAGATGAAAGCCGCTCAAGATCGTTAGAAGAGCTATGCCGACCTTGCTCGGAGAGATGGGCATTTTTAGGTGGGTGATCATGTTCTACTTAAGGCCTCACCGATGAAGGGTGTGAAGAGATTCGGTATTAAGGAAAATTTGAGCCCAAGGTATGTGGGGCCATACGAGATTATCAAAAGAATTGGAGAAGTGGCCTACAGGTTGGCTTTTCCGGAGACATTGAAAAGGGTTCATGATATATTTTATGTCTCTCAATTGAGGAGATACGTGGTTGATCCATCTCATATACTTCAGTCGGAAGTTTTGGATCTTCGTGAGAATTCGGTGTACGTGGAACAACCTATTCAGATTGAGGCATTGAAAGTTAGATCGATGTGGAACCGTGAGATAAAGATGGTAAAGGTAGTGTGGTAGCTACATGGGATTGAAAAAGCGAGATGGAAAACTGAGAAAGAAAATCGAGGAAAATATCCAGAGTTGTTTGAGGTAGCTTCGAGCGTGCAGATTTATTTCGAGGATGAAATGTCCTAAAGGGGGAGCCAAGCGGGTGTCTCCGGTGCCGGAGGACTAAAAAAACAAATTTTTTTTTATTTTTGGGACTAGTTTGCGATAGGCTCCACTTACGGGACTAAAATGATAAAGGGGTCCAGTTACGGGACTAAACAAACAGTTTACCCCACGTAAAAATAATCGCCGGAACTTGCCGGGGTCCGAGCCAGGGTCGGAGAAATTTTATTTTGAGCCTCATTTTTTTTAGGCATATGTAATATTTTTATTTTATGAGTTGATTGACTTGATTTAATTTTTGTAGTGAAAAGGTTTTAATTTGGCCCATTTTGGGCCCAAGGATTTAAAAATGCGCAACTCAATTATATTTATTTAAAAGAAAAAAATAGAGAGGTAGCAACCCTTCCTCCAGCCAGCCGCCCAACATCTTCATTTTCTTCCTTGGAAGTTTTCTTCTTCAAAACTCTTTCTTTTCACCTCTTCTTGTAAGTTAAATGGAATTAATTTTGGATAATTGATACGTTATTGTTTCTAAACCGATTTGTTAATTCTTGGTGGTTTCTTTGGAATTACTTTTAAATGAGTTTTTTCTAAAACCTTGGATTTTCCTATCTTCCCTTTAGGAAGTTTATTAGAATTATTTTTAGGGTTTATAGGAAAATTTTTACGGTAATTTAACTAGGAAAGTGAATGATTTGTGAAATGGGTTAGAAACCCTAGTTTTGCCCTAACCTAGTTATGTTTTTTGGGAAAAGATCTATGATTATGTTTAAATATTATGATATTTTAACTTAGATTATGTCTATTGGGATTGACATATTATTCAAATATTTATTAGGCGAAAGAAAGTGATATTTCAACGAACTTGTTGGGTTTTAATATTCTACTTTTTGCTTGGTTAAATATTGGCAATTGGAACGGTTTGAGTTTAAAGCTCTCTTTAAAATTTGCTTAATAGCATGTTGAGTATTGCGTCAAATTGGTAATTGAAACTACTCGTCGATTGTTTGGATGATAAGGCATAGCCTTTCACCTCTGTGCCTTACAAACGTGTGAGGGTATACCGGTATTTTAGGATAACTAGCTAACCTCGAACTAGAACCCGAATGGGCTAGGCCGAAGGATTGAGATGGCGGGTTCCCTTTTTGGGTGATTCCGAGGTTCCCGTCATTCACGATGAAAAGGTCTTTGGACCGTCATCCGTGATAGAGGGATGGATTGCGTACAATCCCCTCTTGGTATGTTATACAGGAGACTAGAGAGTTGTGGGCCATTTGGCGCCCCTCGCAAACTAATAAATAAATTAACTTACGTGTACTTTGGGCTTCGAACCCTTATGTACTTATTGTGGAGCTTTTCTTGAGGGTTGTGACTCTATATTTGCTATGTGTAATTATGTGGCATGTCATACGAAGTAATAAGGTTGACAAACCGGGTCAAGCCGGCCCTGATTAAGGCCTAGTGGAGTGTTCTTCATGATGTGTTCATCACTCTTATATGAGCACAAAAAATAGATATAAGAGAGGCTTAAAAGACTTGTGTGTGTGAGTTATATTTATGTGATATGTGACATTTTAATTCTAATTATCTTCTTCAAATGATTTTGTGGCATTTACACGTAAATCATAATTTATACCGTATTAATTTATCTTTGATTAATTGTGTTACTCGACAGTCGTGTTGACCCCTTTTTTACAAATTTTTGTTGGTAATGGTGCTTCTATTATACCTAAATAATGTATGCACGTCATATGATCCATTGGGGGAATTAGAACTACTTTATCTTCTAGAATGCTTTTGAAATCCATTATTAATGTTTAAGAACTAAGGTCTTTTGAACTAATCTTTGGTTTAAGCCGGTGAGCTTTAATTTTAAATCTCTAATTAGTTATTTGTAGTGGTTATTTTAGCTTTAGCGCCACAACGTAGGGCTCGTTGGTTGATGAATGAGTGTTCCGGTGTCGCGTGGCACTGACACTTCGGCTTGAAAATATGCTTGATCATTCACCTTCAATGCGTTTATTTTCCAATTGCAATTCTCAACGGCATATCGGACATAATTTTTTTTTTTTTTTTTTTTTTATCATTTTTGACAAATTTCAAACTTCTTATTGTCTTGATAGCATGATTCTGAACTGCACTTTTAAATTCCTTTTTCGAGCTAAAAATCATTCTAAGACTAGAAGTGGGATCATACTTTGACATTGTATCGTAAATGACATACGACTCTATCTCATCAACATTGGACTCGACAAAGCTGGTTAATCTTTTTTTTAGAATCGCCGAGTGACATCTCATCTTCAGAATTTTGGTGTACTACGACCCTTTGATTTTCATTAAACTCATTCATATCTACATTGCTCTCAAACAATGACCGATCAATCATATCATCTTCTGAATTTTGTTCTTCCATTATATAATTTGAATCCTCAAAATCATATTCATTAAGCATTTCATTCCACTCATCTTCTTCTCTAATTTTATTGAAATCTAAGTCTATATCTTCATCACACATTTCTTCAACATTTTTTCCCTTATCGTAATTTATTTCTATTATAATGATTTTTTTCCTACAATACAAGTTATAATATAACATATATTCAATACACTAGTTATAAAATACAAAAATTTATGCATTAATTAATGAAAAAAAATACATTATATAGAACTTATCTTTATAATATTTATTTTTTTCATACAATATAATTCTATAATCACAAAAAATACTTGCTACACATTTTATAATTTTTTATATTATAAAATACAAAACAATAAAGAAAAAAGTAATTTAAAATTTACCTCTTTACTCCAAATAGATAAAATATAATAAGTGGAATATAGGGTTAGAATATTTAAAACATGGAGATGGACTGTGAGGTTGGAATGTTGAGAAGGTGGAGTTGGAATATAGGGGATTTGGAAGAATATATGTTGGTTGTCGGTTGTGTTGGCAGTGTTTGTTGTGTTGTGAAGTGAGGACATGTGGGGCTAGGGTTTTTGATGTAAACGATGTCAAACCCGGTCGTGTACATTTCTATATATGGTCATGTGTACATAAGTTACGATCAAGTGGTGTTCTGAGTTTGAACACGCTCACTGAAACGAGTGTGTTCTAAGGTTGAGGCGAAACACGGACGTGTTTTGTTTGAACTTGGTCGTGTCAAAATCGGTCTGGGAGATGGATGAGTTGTATGTTTGAATACGACCGTGCTCTACATAACACGTTGTGTTCGATCCGACTCAGCTGTCAGATCAGCTTCCAACTGACAAAACAGCACAGCCCGTTAAAATTTGAACGAGTAGACTAAAAATGATGAATTTTGTTTTGTATGGGACTAATTTTGATAAATTTTTTTGGATGAGATGAAAAATGACAAAATTTGTTTTGACTGAGACTATAATTGATTTTTGCTCTATTATTAATGGGAAATGTTATTGAAGGTTTAACTTGAGTTTTCGTTGCTGTTTGTTGTTTTATGTCATACTCCCTCATCCAACTTGTTTATTTTGCTGTGCTTTTCGATGCTTTTCGATCCATCCTTAAAAATCAATCACACATCTCCTATTGTTTATCCTTCAAATTATGGTGGTACCATTCCATTCCTATGTATTGAATTAATTGACTAGTGTTTCAAGTTCAACACTCCACTCCACTACATATATCTAATACTGTAGTATATAATCCCATAATAATGTTCCTGAGTGTTGGGCTGGAATGGAAACACCAACACCTATATCTATAACTATAAATGAAGAAGCTAAGGAACTAACTAACTGCTTGCTTTTATCATTTGAATGCAGTGTTGTATGTACAAGGTCAATCAATCAATTTTCAATCTTCAATCCATCAAACAGAAGAAGAAAATGCATGCCATGCCAAGCAATTATCGGATCGGACGGATGGATACCTACCTATCCTTACGCCCTATGTAATCTTCACTCACATCCACACACTAAACCAACTAGAAATTTCAGATCCATCACTCCGAATATCTGTACAGCATAGCATCATCGAGCATATGTATATGTATGTCTTAATGTGAGCATCCATCCAACGCATCTGTCGATTTATGAGCAGCAACAGTGTCAAGCTGACATGAGGCAATCAGTATATATTATAATAAGAAATAGATTTGCTAGATAGGCATATGGAACTAAAAAATTCAAGAAAACTAATAACAGAGATTAGCTTCCAAGGGCAATCAAAAGGATTGAAAACTGAATATGCATAAACAGCACAGAAGAAGATCGATTTATCAAAATCTGGAAAAACAAACCTCAATGATGCTGCTGCTGCTGCTGATATCTTCTATTGACAATGACCATCCTTCTGAGGCCAATCACTCTCTAAGCCTTTAACCAATAATTAAAGTTATGCAATCAAAAGTAAAGACAAGTAGGGCAGGGCAAACACATTCAACATATGGCTTATACTAAAATGTGATCATTGTATAATTATCTATTGAATGCAATATACACTTGAAATAATTACCAATGGATTTCATGCATTGACATATTTTAATTTGGGATTAAATCAGCAATTCATCAACAAGGGTATAGAAGGAGATTAATAATAGCAAGAGTAATTCTTACTAACCTCGAATATGCCTTCAGGAACCTCTGGTTCATCATTTTGAAAGCCATGTGATATGTCACATTTCAGAATCCGCAACTTTCCATTCTAACATTATTTAGATGAAAATATTTGTCAAATTAGATGTGTGTGTGTAAAGCACAATGAAAACAACATCAACAAAGATAAAAAACTGAAACTTTTTTTTTTCCTTACATTGGTTCCATAAGCAAAGCCTCCACCAACCGAAGGATGGAAACATGCTGAGTTTACAATTTCTTCCGCATTGGCAAGAATCTTAATAAGTTCCATATCACAAACTCTATATATCTGAGAGACCATACAATGAATTTAAGTACTTGGAATCGAGCAATATCAACAAATACAAAAATGCATTTAATGCTTGGTATATTTTTGTAATTCTTGATATCAAGACAAACTATATGATAATATATATATATAGTACTTATTCATACTTACTGCTTACTCATGATCCACTAGTAAATTTTATTAAAATATACAAGATACAAACATACAAGACTTTGTATATCTTAAAATCCTTTATTCCAATAGGTCTTAAAGGCGGAATTCAACAAAATATTACAATTTTAGCTTTCTTACACTACATAAAAAAAAAAAAAAAAAAAAAAAAAAAAACGAAATGTCATGATGAATTGAAGTTGCCAAAATATAATAGTTTGAGTAAATTATAAGTGAAAAACAACAATTCGCCAAAGTATGTACAATAAAAAATGTGATTCTTCACATATCTCTCACCTCTAGAATTGTATAAATCAATATTGACTTGCCTCCGTCAATCAGCTCGCTTTTGAGAAGTGCCCTATGTTGCTGACCATAAACTAGCAACAAATGTTCTGAGGTAGGCGAGAACTAAAGTGTTGCCAAATTAAAATAAAAATAAATTATAAATGATAATTATCATAACATTCGGATCAACGTATCAGACGACTAAAATACCATCATTCTCCTACATCCTTACATATTTATTACAATGAACCTATCACCAAGCTAAGTAAGAACTTCTGAAATATACATATTCCAATAAACAATGTCATTTATTCCCAAAATTAGTTATTTTTTCAAAATACTACCGATGAAGAAGTAATGGTCATGCGTTCAACTGTTATCATTGTCAAATGCCTTGGAGATGGTCATAGAAAAAAGGAACCAAATTAAATAACACAACTAACCTGTATTGAAGTTAAGTGTGCAGCGGCCCTGATTGGACAACTGTTTAAAACAAAACCGAAGCTATAAGAAGGAAAACAAGCATCAGCTTCAAAAAATGATATTAGAATTGAGTAAATTTGTAGCATGCAAGAAAATATAAGACTCACGTAGCCTCCTCAAGAGAATATATCCTTAATTCATAAGTACTGTCCTCGACTGCAAATCTAGAACGTTTACTTGGTCGAGTTGCAGCCCCAGTAACATCAAGAGGACTCACGAATGCCTCACATTTTACACAAACTGCTAAAAATCTTCCGCATGGAGAAAAATGAGCACCTCTTTCACTACCAAAATAATGTCATATGTAAGCATTTGATACTATTGGACTATGAAAAGGGAAAAACAAAAAAAAAAAAAAAAAAAAAAAAAAACAATTTGAGAATTAATAATGTACAATGCAATTTTTTGCAATCTAATAATAATTAGGATCTAAGACTAATTAAAATTTTCTGGAAATCAGAAGCCAATTCACATTGGAAATGGTACTATCCAATTAATTCAATTCCCATAAGACCAAATAGCAAGCAGCTTTACATACCAACAAAGAACAGCCTGGGAAATTTTTAAGCGGCATCTCCTTGCATCAAGAAGTGTGAATGGAGATTCTATTTCATGGTGCCATATTTTAAGCACCGCCGTGTCAGGCAAATCTGGACTTCCAACCTGGCTAGTAGCAGCTGCCGCAGATTGAGGTGCATTAAGTAAACGTGGTGAATTACCCTGCTGATGTGCAGATGGAGAAGGAGAAGCACCAGTATTGGATTGAGGGTTTTCACTCGAACGGTGTGAAGATCGGTATGGTGATCGAGATCTTTGAGCATCTCCTGAACTTTCAACATATTCAAATGGCGAAGGAGCTGACGATGCGACAGGCATTGTTTGACCTTGACCAATCAACCATCCTTGTAAAAATGGAAGTTCCCAATACGATGGGTCACCAAATGGAAGAGATTGATGTCTGCCATCACCTTCAGTTTCAATCTCCATAGGTTCAGCAACTGGTTGAGAAGCATCATTTCCCATCTCACTGGTGGAAGTGTTCATTTGTGGCTCTTCTCTACCAGGAGATTGAATCGAAGATAATCTGAGTTCAAATTCACCAGGCGGTGTTGTATATGTAAGAAGTCTCCTGGATGCCAATGACTCCCCAATCTGCGCTGAAACAGAAGAGCTGGTGCTGGGATCCACCCTTTGGGAAACTGAGCTGGCATCACTTCTGGTAATCGACGGCCACACTAGAAATGGTAGAGACGTGATTGGCGATCCATTGTGTGAATTAGACCGATAAGCAGAGTTTTCATCCGAAAAATGTAGAGTTGGAGGGGGGTAACGTGAGAATCCCGGTAATGTTGCAGATTTCTTATTACTCAAGATGCTATTCTGAAAGACAGCCACTATTAAAATGATACATTTGAGATTAATGTAATAAAAATAAAAATAAAAAATATCAGTGAAAAAACAGAACCTCAGCCGTCAGAAGCTGTGCACCACACGGATGAAACTGCACTGCAAGGAGATGACTAGTATGCAGGATAGATCTAGGTTCATTCCGCTCTATAGCGTTGTATTTCCATATATAAACCTGTTGCATACAAAGGTTAACTCATCGAAGCTATCATAACATCAAACAAAGGTAATAATATTTGTTTTTCTCCGAAATGCCAACCTTATCTCTTGAGGCTACTGCCAATATTTCCCCTTGGGGATGGAAGGCGATTGAATAGATAGGATGATCTGCAAAGTGGCAAGAAATATTATAGAGAAAAATGCTTTAACAAAGCATTTTTCTTTTTTTTTAAGTATCGTGAACAATATTGAGATTACCAAAAATATACGATCTGATAGGGGTTGTAGTATTTGCATGCCACAGGTGTACTACCCTGTCTGTACTTCCAGTTGCAAGAACTTTAGGATCAATTGGATGGAATTTAACCTACAAAACCCCTAGTGTGCAAGTATGAGGTTCTAACAACACAAATAAACTCTTGCTAGCTATATTTGCCCTTTGTGCCAATAGTTAGATTAACATTTTAGATAAATCCTAAAACAGCGTAGCTTATAACAGTTTAATGAACCTAGTCAACAGAGAGCTTACCGTCCAAGATACACTGTTATGCCCTGTGAGTACCTTTAAGCATCTTCCAGTTTGACAATCAAATATCCTCACACTAAAGTCTGAACTGTAAGCATTAATAGAATCGTAGATTTTTAAAAACACATAACAGTTTGTCAAGCATACATTGAATTATACAGACAGATGGAACATAAGCTAACTGAGTAGAAGCAAGCATCTTTCCATCAGGACTGAAGTCTATTGCCAATATTGCTTTTGGTTGAGGTTCGATCTGGCAATACATGCTTGATAAATGCAGTAACGACTCTGCTTCTACCCTGTGAATCATATAGATATACACGTACAAACTTTACACCGCCGACATCTATAACAATCAATAAAAGATTAAAAATGTATTCAAGTTGCATATACCACATGCGAATCTCTTGTCTTGCATCTTTTGCCCAATCACGTGTCAGTCCATAGGAATATGAACAGAAATAGAATTCCTTTCCCCAAAGACTTTTGGGTGCTCTCGTTGTTTGAGGCGTCATCTCTCTCAGAGATAACAATTTTGAAACATTACTGCAAACAGAACATATCATATCAGATCATGTCAAAGCCCTTTTCCTACTACTCTCTAGATGACATTTACATCTATACAAAAGCTAATCCATGAAAACAAATTAGCATGCTGTATTAATCGTGGGCAAAAAAGTTCTTGCTCACAACCTCCCAAAACTTGTACGTTTATCAGTAAAGATCTAATTTCTACTATATATCTCCAAGGAAATCCAACTTAACACGTCCAAGATAGTAAAAGAGGTTAATAGTACAACCGAAACATAAAATGAACATTTTAATCGCTAATTCAAGCACTGCGAGAGAACTCCAAGCTTCAAATTTAAAAAGAACAGGAAATCACTTGGACTCCATCAAAATAAAAATCTGGATCCGCAAAGCGAAATAGAGACCACAAAGTTAAACCTGAGGCTCCAATTGTACTCATCATGATCGATGTCCCCGTGAGGCACCCGCCGGCGGTAATCTGACGACGATGAGGGCGCGGAGGTCATGATCGTTACGACGACGCAGCTCAAGAGGATTGATTCAATTTAGAAATGCAAGTGTGGAAAATGAAGAAGAATTAGCGGTTTGGGGATGATGAGAATTGGTAGTCAGTTGGGGGTTCGGAGCAAGTTATTATTATGAATACAAGAACATCTCAACTGATCTCAACAGCAAAAGCAAAAGAGCGGGCGGGGCGGGGAGTGGATTTCAGATAACTATGCACAACCACACTTCGTAATGTTTGAGTTTGGGTTTATTTACATAAATATTTTTTTTTTTATTTTTTAATCTTAAAAAATATATTAATAAAAGTAATTATCCTAAATACAAATACAAATTGGTTCCCCCAATCGTCTTGAGTGGAGACAAATATGAGATTATGTAATATTTGTACTATATTTCAATAAAAACAAATATTTTATACTTATAAAACTTTCTTACGTTACAAATTATCCGCGCTACTCCGGGCGCCCATGGGTTCTTAAATAATTATTGGATATAATATAAATAAATGTTAATATTTTGAATATAAAATTAATTTTTAAATATAATATAAAAAATTAAAAATAATTATTTGATTTAATATTTTTAGAGAAAAAAATTAAATATTAAAAATTTTGTAAGAAATCTTAAAAACACAAGCAAAAAACTTTCATGAAGTTCTTAAATTATAAAGAAAAGATTTAACTTCATCCTCCATTAACTCTTAGTGTTAGTCGAAAATATTTTAATAAAATCTCTTATAAATATAATTTTTTGTAATATTTTAAAAAATTATTAGGAAGATCTTGTTTGTCACTACATCGTTTGTCATTACATCCCTTACCGTTCATCCTCAAATTAAAGAAACCAAACAATGCAGTAATTTCGTCTATCTTTTTATACATATATATCAAAATGATTTTGTACTACGGCCGGTGCTCAATCTCCACAACAAAACATACACACTACTTACCTCTGTATTATCAAAAAATTATGTGTTTATACGAACTAGTATTTCCAAAAGATTCACGTAGAGAGTCGAGATACAGATGCACGTCTTGTCCTATACATGAAGCTGATGATGTAGTTAGGAGTGGACACGGTTTGATTATTTATAAATATACAAGTATTTGATATCCGAACCGAACCGATTAAAATATCCAAAACCATGAAATGTATACAAACCGAAAATTCGGCTAACCGAAAATATTGGCAAATAATTCAAACCGAATCAAAATTATTAAAAGAATACATTAAAAATAATTAAAATTCTAATTAAATAAAAATTTTGTAGATATTTCAAATATCCGAACCGAAATCGAACCAAATATAATTATTAATTTAAATTTTAATATATAATAATATAAACCTATTCGGTTCGGTTAACCGAATCAAAAAAAAATATCAAAAACCATAACCAAACCGAACTGAACAAATACTCAAATATGCATTATTTGTATTCGAACCGAATTTGCTTGGTTAATCGAATATTTAGTTCGATTCAATTCGGTTCAACGGTTCGGTTCAATTTTTTGGCCATGCCTAGATGTAGTTGCGGACAAAAAATTGTGTTATTTTTAATAAACACAAAATTTGTACAAATTATATTTGATTTGAATTCAAAACGGGTCCTATTATCTAAATGGGTCCTTTGATTCTCCTTCCGGGTCGATTTATTTTTCAACTTGATTTTCTATAGCTTCTTTGATTTGAAGAGATTTGGTCTTCGGTTTGATTTTGTCGTACTTTGGAGAGTTTTGGTCTCCGTGCAGGCGATTTGATCATCGACTTTGGATTTGATGTCCACTTTGGACGATTCGAGGCTTTGATCTTTGATTTGGCTTTGCCGTCTTTTGGAGGACTTTGGTCTCCATGTAGGCGATTTGATCATTAGCTTTGGATTTATGTCTTCTTTAGATGATCCGAGGCTTTGATATTTGATTTGGCTTTGCCGCCTTTTGGAGGACTTTGGTCTCCGTGTGGCCAATTCGATCATCGGCTTTGGATTTATGTCTTCTTTAGACGATCCGAGGCTTTGATCTTTGATTTGGCTTTGCCGCATTTTGGAGGACTTTGGTCTCCATGTAGGCGATTTGATCATTGTCTTTGGATTTATGTCTTCTTTAGACGATCCGAGGCTTTGATCTTTGATTTGGCTTTGCCGTCTTTTGGAGGACTTTGGTCTCCGTATGGGCGATTTGATCATCGGCTTTGGATTTGATGTCTTCTTTGGACGATCCAAGGCTTTGATCTTTGATTTGGCTTTTCTGCCTTTTGGAGAGCTTTGGTCTCCGTGTGGGCGATTTGATCATCGACTTTGGATTTGATGTCCTTTTTTAAACGATCCGAGGCTTTGATCTTTGATTTGGTTTTACCGCCTTTTGGAGGACTTTGGTCTCCGTGTGGGCGATTTGATCATCGGCTTTGAATTTGATGTCTTCTTTGGATGATCTAAAGCTTTGATCTTTGATTTGGCTTTTCCGCCTTTTGGAGAGCTTTGGTCTCCGTGTGGGCAATTTGATCATCGACTTTGGATTTGATATCCTTTTTGGACGATCCGCAGCTTTGATCTTTGAGGAAGTAGATTTGGTGCTCCATAACGCTTTTGGTGGTGTGTCCCTTTGACTTTTGGATCGAAGAGGGCCGAGTTGTTGCTTTGGCGAAGAACGCAAGGAACACTTCGAAGCTTTAAGAGGAACTTTGGAGACCTTCCATTGACTTTGACGAATTCCTCAACGGCTTTGAGAGCTTTGATCCTTGAAGAGGTAGATTTGGTGCTCCATAACACTTTTGGCAGCGTGTCCCTTTGACTTTTGGATCGAAGAGGGCCGAGTTGTTGCTTTGGCGAAGAACGCGATGAACACTTCGAAGCTTTGGGATGAACTTTGGATGCTCTTCCTTTGCTTTGATGGATTCTTCAACGGCTTTTAGTACTTTGATCCTTGAAGAGGTGGATTTGGTGCTCCATAACACTTTTGGCGACGTGTCCCTTTGAGTTTTGGATCGAAGAGGGCTTAGTTGATGCTTTGTTGAAGAACGCAATGAACATCTTGAAGCTTTGAGAGGAACTTTAGAGACCTTTCCTTGGCTTTGACGAATTCCTCAACGGCTTTGAGAGCTTTGATCCTTCCTCCGGCTCGGGCATACGACGAAGAACGTTAACTACATCGATTCGTCAACCAATATTGGATCATTTGTCCAAATCAGTGACTTTCGACGAAGAACGCTTCGAAGGACACGGAGAACAATACAGAGAGAGTCTAGAGACTTACCCCATTGCTTGAATCCTCGATGCAGCTTCGGTGTCTCTAATGAATTGGCCATAGCTCCTATTTATAGGGGATGGGTGGCTTCAGCTTTCTTTTTTAATGGTGTCACGTGGTGCGTTTTGATTGGCCAATAGGAAGATTTTATAATCTTTCATTTTCCATCAGCTGCTCTTTTCCATTTTTGACGGATTTGATTGTGCACCTTCATTTCTCGCCAAGATCTTTATATCATTGCCCTTTTTCGGAAGATATTAATTTATATACTTCATTTATTGACAAGATTAATTTATTTTGCTGCGAAATTATTATTGCTTTATTTATGCACGTAATAATTGTACGATATCTTCCATTTTAAGCATATTTTTGCATTAATGGTTGATATTTATTGTACAAAAATTAACATATGTGCATAATTAAATACCATATATTTATTTTATTAGAATTTTATTTTCTTCCAAAATATATGATAACTAATTGATTTTAGACATATATTTTTAGTGTCTACAGTAGTTAAAATATGAAATGAAGATATGAGGTCCATGATATTATGATACATAACATTACTGTACAAAAGAGGAAATAGAAATAAACAAATACAAATTAAATCACAGCAAGATGAAACCATGGATAATCAATAGGTAGTTAAATTCAAATTTAGCGATTGAAATAAAAATTTGACTTGCCAAAGTCCCCAAGATCGGGCATTCATCACTCTCTCTCTTTTCCATTTAATAAATTTCATACACATAATTCTATTTGAAATATTTTTTTATAGAATCAAATAATCATGACAATTCCAAATTTTCACTCTTCCATAAGAGCATGTGCAATGAAGATACTCAAATTTTTCCACAACATTTTCTCTTTCTGTCAAGTAATCGGAGATATTCTATTTTATTTTTTCTATATATTTTTTAAAATTATAATTAATCAATACTAAATTATTATAATTTTTAATCTTTAATTTATTAAAATTCTAATTAATATTTATAAAAATATTTTTAATATTATATTTATATTATTATATCTATTTATTTAAAATTGAAAAAATAAAATATAAAGTTAATAATTAAAATTTTCAAAATCAATAATACATCATAAATACAATAGAAATATTTCATATTGATATTACTTTTAAAAATTTAAGTCAAAAAATATATTCAATATTGATATGTTTTTAGAATATAAAATTTTATAAATTATAAAAATATTATAAAAATAAAAATACAATGATATATTTAATAAAAATTACATAAACAAATTATATATATATAATACAAACTATATACATACAATAAAAATATGTGATGTGTCTCATTCAAAATGGACACATGACATAAAAGCAAATATCTCTACGTAGACAAAATCTCTTATTTGTTTTTTTTTTTTTTTTTTTTTTTTAATTTCTGAGGTGGCAAATATCTCCAAAGTGGAGATACTTGCATTGCTGATGCTCTAACACCATCAAACACAAATTTTACAACATAAGGCATCAAACATGTGTTTCTATACAAGAATATAGGAAAATGTGTATAGAAGTAAACAACTTGTACAAAGTATGCAGTATTATCATTTTAATGAACACATACATAATGTAAAAACATCGAATATATCGACAAGCACACAATGCAAACACAAAATTATGAAAACAAAATACAAACACACTAAAGCATGAAGACAAGAACACTTGTATTTTTCTCTCAAATTAATCCTTACATGACACACTAAAAAATACACCAATGGACTACATTTTAAAGCACACAAAGGCATTGGATTACTTCATAAATTAAAACCACATTTAATCTTAACATAAATGAAATTATTCTAGTGTAACATCTACTACGCCCATTATATATTTTTAATATCCACTAACTACACTCTCATGCATTATATATCCACTAATCACCCAATTTAACACCAGATTAAAATTACATTTAA